CAGTTGGAGGGGCAGTTTCTTTCTGGGAGCTTCTGCTCACATAGCTTACACTAAACTCAAATTGCAATCCTGTCTCTCCAGTGATAATAGGCCTGTGCCACCATGCCCAGTTAGGTTCTTCCTGACTCAGCAAATTAACTTTAAATTAGTTTAAAAATGATTGATTACCTTATTTAACTGAAAGTAAGAATCAACAACCTGGTGTGATAAATGTATGCTTATAGTACTAGCACTTGGGATATGGAGGCAGGAGCTGAAGGCTATCCTTGTCTACATAGTGAGTTCAAGACCAGCATAGGATACAGGAGACCCCCCCCAGAGAAAAGAGGGATCAGGATGGACATGATAATATACTCTTGTATTCCAAGTACTTGGCAGATTGAGACAGAAGGATTACATCAAGTTTTAGGACAGCCTGGCCTTCAGAGTAAGATATTTTTTCAGAAAAGGCAAAACCAAAGAAATCATAAAAAGAAAGTAAGGAATTGGCAGAGGATGTAGTTTGATTGTGGTAGAGAACTTGTCTGGAATGTATAAAACCTAGGTTTCAGTGTGATCTTTAAAACTCTGATCACGTTGGCCCAGTAGTACTGGTGGAGATGTCACCTTCCATATGTGATCTTCTATAAAAGCATCAAATGCACTGGGAAACATTTTCGTCATCAACTGTTTATTAGCTCAGAACTTTATCCAAATGAATGCAGCAACAAATAAAGCATATTTACTTTTAAAAATGGGTTGATATTTGAAACACTAATGAACTTTTTGGCATTTTATTTTGGTGTGTCCCCTTAAAAATGCTCTGCAGTAATTTTGAAAACTAATTGCATAATACTAGAACTTGTGAAAAAACTATTTTTGTAGCCATTTGAAAAAGCAGAATGATTTTTCAATTTCTCCAGTTCTGGAGTTATGACTTCTACAACTTGTCTTATTTGAAATGACTCAGAGCTTGCTTGTTTCAAAGTTTTTTCAGAGCATTTTAAAAATAAAATTGGGTGGGTAGAGAGGTGGGAGTATCAGGGAGGAATTGGGAGAGGTAAGAAACATGGTTTAAATATATTTTACTAATTGTTTAATGAACATAAAAAGAAAATACTCAGTGGTAGTGCTTGGATTAAAGGCGTGTGCCACCACCTCCTGGCCCTGTTTTCAATGGTTTTATTCACTGCTTAATCTTGGCTGTCCTGGAACTTGCGCTGTAGACCAGTCTGGCCTTAACTCAGAGCTCTGTCAGCTTCTGTCTTCCTAGTGCTGGGATTAAAGGTGTGTACCACCATTCCTGGACCTAAGATTTTCTTTAATTCCTTTTCACAAATTGGAAGCTTAGCAGGGTGGAGACTTTCTCTGAGGTCACCACTCCCTTTATTCTATTTATCATCAGGTTTTTATTTAATCTGTTTGCATGTCCTGGGGCCGCCTTTCTCCTCAAACTGTAAATTTTGTATTTTTCCTTGCTTAGCTTCTTCCTTTTCATTGTAGATCTTCATAAGCATCACCACTAATAATCAATCAACACAGTCAATACTAGGCTGTCTGGGAATCTCTTCTGCCAAAGCTGTTCATCCATAACTTCAATTTATCCTTAGGCAAATTTTTCTGGACAAGGGCAGAAAGCATTCACATTCTTTGCCAAACTATCAAAATAATGATCTTTAAGCCAACACCAATATTCTCCTCTGAAACCTCTTCTAGACCTCCAGTGTTCAAATCACCCAGAGTACCACTGTCTTCTATGCTCCTACTAGCATGACACATTAAGCCCTATTTAGTGTCCGATTGATTTTCTAGTAAAAAGTCTCAAATTGTTCCATATTCCTCCAAACAAAAACATGGTCAGGGCAATCACAGCAATATCAGAGTCCCTGGTACCAAATTTTCTTGGGGTTTCTACTGCTGTAGTGAAACACCATGATCAAAAAGCAATATGAGGAGGAAAGGGTTTATTTGATCTACCTTTCTATTTTGCTGTTCATCATTGAAAGAAGTCAGGACAGTAACCCAAACATGGCAGCATCCTGGAGGCAAGAGCTGATGTAGAAGCCATGAAGGAGTGCTGCTTACTGGCTTGCTCTCCATGGCTTGCTCAGCCTGCTTTCTTATAGAACCCAGGACCACCAGCCCAGGGATGGCACTATTTACAGTGGCCTGGGCCCTCCCACATCAATCACTAATAAAGAAAATACCTTACAGCAGGATCTTTTGGGGGCATTTTCTCAACTGAGGTTCTCTCCTTTCTGATAACTCCTTTTTCTGTGTCAAGCTGAGATAAGAGTAGCCAGTACAGGCACAGAGATTGGTTCAGACTGTTTGAAGGAATCTCTTACTTGGTACTGGTAGTGCAGGCCTGGTTGAGGCTTTGGCGTCACAGGCACATCACACATTCAAGGCCTGTCTGGGCTATCAAGTGAATAAATGGTCAGTTTGGTCTACTTATTGTGTCCCATATTTTTCTTAAAACCAAAAGAGGTTTGGGGGTATAGCTCAATTGAAGTAGATCATTTACCTAGCAAGTATGAGGCTCTAAATTTAATCCATAATATTGAACAAGAAAGAAAGGATTTATGTTATTTCATGGACATAGATTTTTAATCAGCTGATATGACATAGTACAGTCTTTATGAAGCCATTAAGTGAATAGCACAACAAGAACAGCAAACCTAGGGAAAAAAGGGGATCTGCTTTTTTTTATAATTGCCACATTATATTACTTAAAATATTCATTTTTTCAAAAAATGACACATGGAATGAAGTTGCAAAAAATCAGTTCACTAACAAAAGTAAAAGAAATTAATAGAAACTGTTCCTGGGAGATCTCAGATAATTGATTTCTTGGACAAATACTTTAAATTAGCTATTTAAAATATTTTAATGGAAACTGTGTCAAAAAAAAGCTGAAGGAATACTTGAGAACAATTTCTCACAAAATAGAGAAAATCAATATAAAGACTAATAGCTAAACATCTTCATTTATTGGGACCCTCTTCCTCTTACTGGGTTGCCTTGCCCAGCCTTAATACAAGTGGAGGTGCTTAGTCTTACTTCAACTTGATATGCCATGTTTTGTTGATACTTATGGGAGATCTTCCCTTTTCTAAACAGAAATGGAGGATTAGGGGATGGGGTTTAGAGAGCAGAGCAGACGTTTGAGGAGGGAATGGGAAGAGAGGAGGGAGGGGAAACTGCATTCGGGATGTTTAAACAAAGTACAATAAATAAAATTTACCACAGTAGCTCAGTATCAGATTTGTACAGTGAATAAAGGATCAACAAATCTAAGGGTAAGAGAATTGAAGAAAAGAAAGGAAAATAATTGAAAGCATCTACTAGAAGACTTGGAGCATTTACTGTGTTATGGATTAAAAATGACCTTTGTTTCTTGTCTGTTCTATTGTGTTAAATAAAATTGAATGGAGGAATATAGGAATAGTGGGCAGTTAAGAAAAGTGAACTTAAGGCTTCACAGATGTCTCAGTGATTAAAAGCATTTGCTGTTTGATCTTCCAGAGGACATAGGTTCCATTATGTTGTTTAACTCCAGTTCCAGGGATGTGATGCCCTCTTTTTTCTTCCACTCAAGAAGTGTAGAAGATATTCTTTCCAAGCATATATGGGATATTCTTAAAGTGTCCATGTATTAAATCAGAAAATAGGCTTTAATAAATACAAACAATAAAAAATCCAATTTTATTAATTAATTAACTAATTTATTTCCTGACCATAGTAGATTAGCTACCAATAACAGCAAGTTTTGAAATTTACAGATTTGTGAAAATTAAATAACACATTCTGAAATAGTCAATAGATTAAGGGAGGAATCAGAAGTCTTTTTGCTTAAGAAACAGTAATTTAGGGGCTCAATATGGTTGTGCATGTCTCTGTGAAATCCTAGAACTCAGGAACCTTAGTGAGGCCAGCCTCAGCTACATAGTCAGAAACTAACTAGCTAGCTAACTAACTAACTAACTAACTAACTAACTAACTAACTAACTAACTAACTATCTGGGCACATTTATTTGCCCAGGCTTCCATATGTTCTGAGAATATACTTGATGCTTGTGGTGGAAAGTTGGGGAATTTAAAAATACAATAAAATCTATTTAATTTATCTTGTGTGTATGAAGAAATTGAAATCCAGGGTGGAGAATTGCATGGCTGTCACACTGCCAGTAAGTGGCAGAATTGGCTGTAGAAGGGGAGAGATGTTAGAATTGTCTACTTTGTATTTATACCCCACTTTTGCAAAATAATTTCATTGTTTTAGAGAACTACACACTAAAATAGATATGATCATGCTTGTTGATAGGTAAGGCAGCTGAAGCCCAGAGGGGACAAGTCATTTGCATAAAGTTACTTAGGATGAATATGATGGAACAAAGCTTCCAATCCAGGCCTACCTCTCTTTAAAACTTGTGTTTCTTCCTTTTCTTTATATTTGCAAAACTAAAATCCTTATCATCTCATACCCTATCTGATGCTCTAATTTATACATTAGTTCCTCATTTATCTGTGATCCTTCAAAATCTATCCACAGGTAATCAGTAGGAATACTCAAAAACAGAATACAGGGAGGTAGATTTAGCTTTAAGATTAAGGAAGGAACTTACATAACTTTGCTTTTTGAGACAGATTGAGGTCTTATAGCCCAGGTTGGCCTTGATCTCACTCTTTAGCAAACTATTACCTTGAACTTATGATTCTAACCCTTTTGTTTATCCATACAATGAGAGAAGCCTCAGATATTTTTAAGTGTGTCTAGGAGGATTAAATACAATGTTAGTTTTGAAATAACTCTTTAGTTGGGGATTACCAGGAAAGGAAAGAAAGAGAGGAGAAATAGTAGGTACTTAACTTGTCCCCCTGCTCACCTTAGATTTCATGTCATTCTCTAGTAGCTCAGTGAGATTAAGGTACTGGTCCCTACTTCATATTGCCTAGATCTTTGCCTACTCATCAATATGTACCATTACTAATTTCCTTTTTTTTTATTCTCTCATCAGCGGAATCATTCAAGGAATTTGCTGAATTGCTCAATGAAGTAGAAAATGAGAGGATGATGATGGTAGGTCACTGTATTAGTAAGGGTTCTGTAAAGGAACAGAACCAATATGGTGAGTATATATTAGAAGAAAATGCATTAGATTAGCTTACACTATATGGAATATCTAGTCCAACAATGGCTCTGTACACATCAGAGAGACTGGGAACCTAGTAGTAGCTGCTCGATCGATGAGGCTAGATGCAGTCTCATTATAGCATTGAATTTCTGGAGAGTTTCTGGTCTTTAGTCCATGTTGGAAGGCCAAGAACCTGGGTCCTAATGTCACCAAAGGATGGCAGGCACAGCTGTAAGGGGGTAGATGTGTTTACCAGCAGGCAGTAAAGGTGAGCAGACAAAACACAACACTGCTTTTCTCTCTCAGACCACTTTATATCCAGGTTACCACTTTGGGAGATGGTCTTCCTGTTCAGGTAATCTTTCCATGAAATACTATCACAGACACATCTAGAGTTGTTCTCATACTGGATCCCAGACCCAATCAAGTAGACAAGCAAATTAATTATACTAATGTCTTTTACAGAACAGAACTATAATTTTATTGAAGCTCTATTTGTGTTTTATTTGAATTTTTGCTTTTAAAATATTTTTTGTGTATGACTTTTTTGCCTGCATGTATATTTGTGTCTCCTATGCATGCATGATACCTGCAGAGGCCAGAAGAGGGATCACCTGGTATTGAACTTACATATAAGTGTAATTCACCAATGTATGTGCTGGGAATTGAACTGGGGTCCTTTGGAAGAGCAATCAGTGCTCTTATCTGATGAGCCACCTCTCTATCCCCCATTTTTCTTTTATAGATCTTGCTTTTGGAGTCTAGAATAGTCATCATAAAAGGACATCTATCTTATTCTGATATCTCTTAGGAGTTTGGTATATTTAGATCTGTGATCCATTTTGAGTTATATTTGAAGGATTTAAGATCTTTATTTATGATTTACCATATGGGTATCTAGTGGTCCCCATTTCTCCACACCCATTCCAGTATTTGTTGTTGGTTGTTTTGTTGATCTTTACCATTATGACTGGGGTAATGTGAAATTTTAAGTTGTTTTGATTTGTATTTCCCTAGTTGTTAGAGTTAGTGAGAATGTTTTGAAATATGTTTTAGCCATGTTTTTTCTTTTATGACCTCTCTGTTCAGATCCTAGGATCATTTTGTTTAAATTGGTCATTTGTTGTTGTGACACTTTGTTTTTTTGAGTTCTTAATATATTCTAGATATTAATTCTCCATCAGGTATACAAATGACAAAGATTCTTTCTATTTAATTTCGTGAGACTCTTTTTTACTCAGATGGTTGTTTCTTTAGCTCTGCAGAAGCTTTAGTAAGTCCAGCTTGCCACGTGTTGGCTTTAATTTTTGAACAAATGGAGTCCTATTCAGAAAGACCTTTCCTATACATATATGATGTAGGTACTGACTATGTTCTCTTTTAGTAGTTTCAGTGTTTAGGTCTTCAATCTATTTGGAATTAGTTTTTGTTCAAGGTGATAGATACAGGTCTAATTTCATTCTTCTGTATGTGGAATTCCAATATTTCGAATATCATTTATTGAAGTTGTTTTCTTTTTTCCAGCATATATTTTTGCCACCTTTGTCAAATATTAAATTGCTGAAGTTATCTGTACTCATGTTTGGGTCTTCAGTTTTGTTCTATTGGTCTACTTGTTTGTTTTTTGCCAGTACCATAAGTCCTTTTATTACTATGACTTTGTAGTTTATTTTGAGTTCTGGAATAACAATCTCTCCAGTGTTATTCTGTTTGCTAACGATTGTTTTGACTATGCAGGGTCTTTTGTGGTTCCAGATTAATTTCAGGATATCTTTTTCTATTTCAGTGGCAAATGAGATGGGGATTTTGATTAGGATTGTGTTGAGTGTGTAGATTGCTTTTGGTAACAGGGAAGTTTTTGATACTATTCATCTATCTAGCTATGAGTAGAAGGATTTTTTCCTTTGTCTATTGACTTTTTCTATCTCTGTCTTCAAAAATGTAAAGTTTTCATTGTAAAGGTACTTCACCTCCTTGGTTTGGTTTATTCCTAGATAGTTTATTTTCTTGGAGGCTATTGTGAATGGAATTGTATTCCATGATCTTCTCTATAAAGAAAAGATATTGATTGGTACAAGATGATTCTGTGTTCTGCCAGCTTGCTGAATTTGTTCATCATTTCTAGAAGTTTTCTGGTAGAATTTTTGATGTATCTAATGTATAAATATATCATCTGTAAATGGTGATAGTATGACTTCATTTACTATTTGTATATTTTTAATTTCCATGTATCTTGACTTGTTCAGAACAATTTATCTTGGGGTGGGCAAGGAAAGGGTTTATTTGGCTAAAATGTCTTGAATCACAGCCTGTCAAGGAAAGCCAAGGAAAGACCATGGCTTCTGCATTAGCTCCTGCCTCTAGTTGCTCACCTGGTTTGAGTTCTTGCCTTGGCTTTGAGTTCCTGCCCCTTTCTAGCACTGTGGTACTTGCTTTTCAGCGTACTGCTACTATTACCTCAGCTCCTAGAGAAGTGTGGTTGAAGATGGGCTTTGAGGGTAGGGTATTTAGGATTTGATTCCGACTCAGCCACTAACTCACTTATTGACTTTGTACTAATCAGTTTATCCTTCTAGTCCTTCCTTTACTCTCTTGAAAAGTAAGTAAAATAATTGCCACTCCTCTTGTTATGAAGGACTCAGAATGACACAATATAGAAGTGTTTTATAAAGGTGAAAGACGTTGATTATATAAGTACCGTTTTGACTAATCTCTGGTTGTTCATAAGACAGGACTTTTCTGAGTTATGAAATATGCTTCTAAAGATAGTAAGGGGAGATAGACATGAGTGCTTTCACTCAAGCCTCATAGTGGCCTACTAGTTCAGACAGACTTCATTGGGTATTCTCTCCTGTCAGAGCTTCCCTGTCCCACTGCCTATGTTGTTCTCAGAGGCATTCAACTCTAGCTCATTCAGCTGCCACTAGAAAACTCAGCTGCCCTTCTCCACAGAACTTCATCTCTTGGATAGGTAAGATCAACATAGTAAAAATGGCAATCTTGACAAAAGCAATCTACTGATTCAATGCAATCCCCATCAAAATCCCAACACAATTCTTCACAGACCTTGAAAGAACAATTCTCAACTTTATATGGAAAAACAAAAGACCCAGGATAGCCAAAACAACCCTGTTCAATAAAGGAACTTCAGAGGCATCTCCACCCCTGACTTCAAGCTCTATTACAGAGCTATAGTCCTGAAAACAGCTTGGTATTGGCACAAAAATAGACAGGTAGACCAATGAAATAGAGTTGAAAACCCTTATTAACGCACACACCTACAAAACCTGAATTTTGATGAAGAAGCTAAATTTAGACGATGGAATAAAGAAAGTATCTTCAACAAATGTTGCTGGCATAACTGGATGCTGGCATGTAGAAGACTGCAGATAGATCCATGTCTATTGCCATGCACAAA